TAAGGAAAAGAAGAGTAAAGAGAAGGGAAACAGAGATGAAGGAGCTTTTGTGGAGTCTAAAAGAGTTATTGCTTACAGTAGTAAGAAAAAGAAAGAAAAGAAAAGTTCTCAGGAGTTGGCTGCGCCGCCGCCACCGAAAAGTGAAAGTAAAGTGGCACTAGCCATTAATCAGGCGTTAGCAGCTAAGCCTCCACCCCCCTCCTGAGGACACAAAGAACTGCTAATGCTCAATACCCTCAAGGGTTGTATATATTATTAATTATAATATTATTATATATAATTATATATGTTATTCATTTTTATATATTAATTAATATAGAATTAATTTATACAGATTATAAATTAATTCCTTATTATTAAAATACAATAGCTAAGGTGGTATTGGCCCCAGGGCAATATCTGCAATTTAAATCCTAATGGTAGGAAGAAGCCAGGAGAGTGGAGATGATTAACGCCCAACAAAATCCACCTGGATATAATTTTGACCAGTTAACAGGAACTAGAACACATATTAGCATACAGCAACAGGTGCTGTTAGAAAATGCTATCATGGCACAGATTAAAACTTGTTGCTTAAAGGCTCGGTCAAAATTGGAGAAGGCCGGCACCCCGGCCCAATCATTTTCTAAAGTTATACAAATAATATTAATATAATAATAATCATCATCTTATTAAAATCTTATATAAATAATTAATAATAATAATAATAATAATAATAATGCTAATTTTCTTACTGACGCATTAAAAACTGCAATTCCCATCCTGTTAAATGCTATGGATGTAGGAAAGTGGGACATATGAAAAAAGGATTGTCTGAAGGCAAGGGTCCCACAAGGAAAAGCTAAACATTCACCCGGAGTTATTAATACAAATTATAAAGGAGAAGTATTAGTTATAATGTCTCCTTTTAGTATTATAAATATAAAGGCAGGAGAAAAAATAGCACAGTTATTATTACTTCCCTATAAACAAATAGAGCATTACAGCACCAGTTAAGCAAACTGGGGGATTTAGTAGCATAGGAAAAAAAGGTTTTTTAGCATATAGTTTTAGGAGGCCAAAGACCTCAGTCTTTTTTACAGTTTGTTCCCAGAGGGAGTAAAAATTATCAGCCTGGTAGATTCTAGGGTGATGTCACTATAATTTTTACTTTGCACTGGCCTCAATCTTGGCCGGTGCACAAGGTGAATGCAACTTTTACAGGTTGTAAACCTCACTGAAATTTTACAGAGCTCTAATGTACTTGAATGTCAGGGGCCTAAAGGACAAAAGGGCAAAATACAGCCATATGTTGCCTCCATTACACTATCTTTGTGGGGAAAAGATCTTTTACAACAACGGGGAGCTACAGTTACTATACCTTCTTTAGAGAAAGGCCATAAACAAATAATTTGTCAAGCTGGTACTAGCACCAGTATTCAAAACCAAAATTTATAGAGGGGGCCACTTCAAAATGCTTCGCCCTGCCTTTAAAATAGAAAACAACTAAACCGGTATGGGTAGAGCAGTGACCCCTAACAAGAGAGAAGTTGGAAGCGCTCCAAATTATTATTAAAGAACAGGTACAACTAGGGCATATAGAAGCCAGCTCTAGTCCGTGGAATTCCCCTGTCTTTATTATAAAGAAAAAATCAGGTAAATAGAGAATGTTAACTGATTTAAGAAGGATTAATAAAATTATTAAGCCTATAGGATCTTTACTACCTGGAATTCCAAATCCAGCATTATAGCCTTTAATGTAATAGGCAAACCCCGAGCCATTAAAACTAACAATGGCTCAGCATATTTATCAGGTAAGTGTCAACATTTTTTTTCAACAGTTTGATATTAAACATATTACAGAAATTCCTGAAAACAGTACAGGTCAAGCAATTATTAAATGGCAAAACCACACCCTTAAGGAAATGCTGCAAAAACAAAAAGGGGGAGAAGAGCTGGTATCAGGCCAGACTCCCCGACGAAGATTATTAAGAGCTCTATTTACTTGAAATTTTTTACATTTGAAAACAGATGCAGTGTCAACTGCTGAAATGCATTGGGGACATAAAAAGGAGGTCGCGGTAGAACAACCTATCATGTATCAAGATGTCACTACTAGTCAATAGTACCCGACTACCGTTTCAAGGTGGGGTCGAGGTTATGCTGATATTTCCACAGGAACTAAGAAGTTCTGGATTCCTGATAAAAGAATCAAGTTAAGGCATGGCGAGCAAGAGGAAGCGTGGCGAGGCGGGACTGGAAGACCGGTTTACGCAGCTAACCATCCAGAGAGGACAAACAATTCGCACGCCGTTGCCTCGCACCCGAAACACTCCTCCACCTACATGGGGACAGGTGAAACGCCTATGCCAAGAAGGGGAACGTCTTGTGACTGACCATAGAAGGCCCTGTAACTAATGACTCTAATTGAATACCTGGACTTTTTGAAGATCGTGGGCCTTTGAAACCAGATGCCGGAATGCCTGTGTGCTTGGGACTGGGAGATCATTGTTTGCAATTGTATTTTGAAGTCTGGTCGAGTGTGGCTAAAAACACCACTAATCCTTGAAAGGACTAGTTCAATGGATGCAAACTACTAGGGAAATATCTTATTTTAATTCTACCTTGTTAACTTGTATACCTTATAATGAAATAGCTTTGCTATTTTCTCTGTCATGATTCAAACCTGCAGCAAAACTAAAAAGAGGGAAAATTGTAGCTGGACAAGCGGAATGAAGTTTACTAGAAGAGAACGCTCTGCCAGGAAAAGGCAGGAGCCTGCAAGCAGGCCACATCAGAACAAAGTCTTGTAAGCAAGACTTATTTGTTCAGAGGCAGGACTTTCCTTGACGTGATAAATACTCCATGAGGGCATGAAAAGTTCACGGGAGGGAGTACTGCTGCAGGTGGAAATAATCTTTGTATAATACAGGAAATTAATAGTGTAATGTATAACTTAGCTTTGATGATTTCATGAGCATGCTTGTTAATCATTGTCGTTTGCTGTACTCCATTGTTGTTTGCTGTGCTCACCCCCAATAAAAGCCAGAAGGGATCAGAGGGTCTTTGCTACACGCCTGAGCGAGCGGTAGCCCTCTGCTCTACTTCATCCTACACGCTAAGCTTGCCTCAGTGTCTCCGTTCTCAAAGAACATCAATAGGCAACACCTATAGACCAAAGCACAAAACACTCCAGCAATTCTTGCACATGAATGTAACTTTATTTTTACCTAAAGCCCACTCATATTTGCTCTTCCAGACACCTCTGAGGGGGTAAGTGTGGTTGTTTCCAGCCCAAATTTCAGGATCTGGGAGTAGAGGAATGAGTAACACAGGACCTGAAGGCTGCCTGAGCCCACTGGCATCCTTAGGAGGCATCTGCAGCCCATCCTTTCTCCTCAGATGTCTGGGGCTGAGATGTCTTTGGAAAAAGGAGGCTGGACAATACCCCTGGTCTGAGCTGAGTGTGGAGGCAGCAGTGAGATGGTGGGGCTGACTCTGGTGGATGACGAGGACCATGTGCAGGAGCTGAGGATCGGAGAAGTCGTATCAGGTGAAGCTTAAAAGGGACACAGGACACAGGAGGTGAGTGGCTTTGGCCTCTGGGACCCACTGCCACTACCTCCACCAATGTCCTTGCCTATAGGACACGTTTTCTTTTCTCAGCTCAGAACTTTCCCAAATATTGTTTCTAAACCTGGGAGACACACGGTAGTACCTGTCTTATTTTGGAGTTGGATATTCCCATTCCTTGTCCTCCCACCTTTCAAACTGGGGCGTTCTTAAGGCCAACGCCAGGACAGTCACCCACATGCCTGGCCCAATACCTGTATGGCCAGATGCAATATGCTCCCTGAGGATGCCCAGACCTAGGGGGCAGGGAGTGGTCTCTGTGTAGGAAAGGTCCAGGGTCAAGGTCAACCTGAGGCAGGGTTCTGGACATGAACTGACCTGAATGAGGATTTGCATTATCTGACTTAATCCCCTCGACAGCCATGCCAGGAGGGTACTAACTAATATCATTCTCATGCCATTGATGGAGAAACTGAGGCTCTGACCACACTGCCAGTTTGTGGTGGAGCCTGGATTCCCTACAGGTCTGACTCCAGAGCCGGTGTTCTTGGCACTAGAATGGGTGCCTATAGTTCACGTGAATATTTCTGGAATAACTCAGGGGTCACTTACTGGATAAAAGGAGGGATGAACCCTGGCCAGTGTGGCTCAATTGGTTGGGCATTTTCCCGAGCAGCAAAAGGTTGCTGGTTCCATTCCTGGTCAGGGCACATGCCTGGGTTGTGGACTGTCTTGATCCGCAGTAAGGGGCGTGCAGAAGATAGCCAATGGATGTTCCCCTCTCACATTGATGTTTGTCTCTCTCCCTTTGCCTTCCTCTCTCTCTCAAAATCAATTTTTTGGGGGGTTTTTTGTTTGTTTTTTTTTAATATATTTTATTGATTTTTTACAGAGAAGAAGGGAGAGGGATAGAGAGTTAGAAACATCGATGAGAGAGATCAACCAGCTGCCTCCTGCACGCCCCCCAGTGGGGATGTGCCTGCAACCAAGGTACATGCCCTTGACTGGAATCGAACCTGGGTCCCTTGAGTCTGCAGGCCGACGCTCTATCCACTGAGCCAAACCGGTTCAGCTCAAAATCAATTTTTAAGACACATATTTTTTAAATAAAAAGAGGGATGAAAGAATCTCAAGGTCCTGGCCATTGCAGGCTGCTTCACACTACAGGCTATGGCCTTCAGGGGACACGTGTTGTAATAACACCAGTTTCTCAAGCTACCCCACTCCAGGGCTCATTGGGTAAGAACACAAGGGTGGAGTCGTCTGACCAGAAGGGCTCGCCTGTGTTTCAGGCCACCATTTGGGGGGAAATTGCCTCATCATTTCAGAGGCAACCAAACCTCTGCTTCCCACATGTGACTCTTCCCCACCCCACGCCCACCTCCGCCCCAAGCTTTCCAGGTGACGCACCAAGTGTCTGGAACCCCTCCATTCTGCCATGTCCTGGCTTAAGGCGCTGTCTCCAGCAGGCTCCTGTGGAAAGGTTGTACCAGTAAAGGGGTGTTCTAGAAACCCACATCACCTCGGGGAGTGAACCCTAGATTGGGCTAATAGGAGGCTCTTGGGCAGACCCTGTGAGGGAGCCTGAGGCTGGTAGGGAAGGGACTTCGAATGAGGGAAGCAGGAAACAGCCACAAATGGTCAGAGTAGAGTGGGGACTTGGCCAAGAATCAAGGGTTACGGGGGCTGTAAGGATGTCAGCTTGTGTACACAGAGGCGTCTAAACATCAGAGCTGTCACACTGCCCAGGAGGGCTGCCTTGGACTTATATGGGTAATGGGTGTAACAGGTCACCCCATAGGCAGTGTATGTCAGTTGAATCTTCTCTGGGGCCAATGGGAGGTGGGGTGTATGGTATTTCCTGGACCTGGGAACCCAGAGCGTAGCCATCAGCTCCCTGGGCCAAGTTCAGATCCTTGAGCTCTCCTCAGATACCTGAGCTCAGGTCCCATCATGTAGCAGATGGTCGCAGGCGGGAAGCCATTGAAGGTGGAGCTCATGACTGAACTGTAGGCGCCCATGGAGGGGAAGATGAGCCAGTCACCCACGTCCAGCTCAGGCAGCTGCACCTCCTCATTGTAGAACTTGTCAAAGGCATCGCACGTGGGGCCATAAAGGATGCAGGGGAAGAGAGGCGGCTTTGAGCAGAGCTCCTGCAGGGACACAGGGGTGGGGAGTCAGAGAAGGAAGAGCTCCTGCCCCCAACCCACCCTCCCAGCCCATGCCCTAAGCCAGCAGAGCAACCCCAGGCACCAGCAAGGACACTGGCAGTCACTCACACCCACCAGTACCTATGTGCCAGGCACTGCTCTTGACCTGGCCCTCATGGAGCTTATATTCGCTCAACTGACACACTCTAGCCCTGCTAATTCTCAAGGCCACACACACATGGGGCCTCCGTTTCCCATCTATAAAAGCAAAAGATTTTAGTCAATAGTCACTCAAAATACTGGGTGAAACTCAGCTGCTATTGGAATCACATTGGAGGAGGTTTAACAAAGGATTGATGCCATGTCCCAACCCAGGAGAGGCCTGATTTCAATCGCCTGGGCCTTTGCCTCTGCATCGGGGTCCTTGGAAGCTTCCCAGATGAGTCTACTGTGAAGCAACTTAGAGAACCTCCATTTCGTAGGACTCCGGTATCTCCAGCATTCAAGGATTCTGGACACACACACACACACACACACACACACACACACACACAGTGCATACAGAGAGATCACACGGAAACCCAGAGGTAAACAGATGTGCACACACACCCACACAGGACCATGTACCCATCCACCCACCTACCTGCACAGGTGTCAGTCAGCATGCTCACACACAAAAATGCACACACACAGAAGTGCACATGCAAATACAAACAGGCTTGCCTCTGCACATCCTTGTACACGCACGTGGTGTGACAATCTACAAAGCCATGTGTAATCGAAGACTCTGCCCCCTTGCACCTCGCAGTGGGATCCCTGCCTTACAGGGAAGAGTTCTGATCTCAGAGCTATCAGGGTCTGGGCCTCCTTACCTTCACCACAATTGGCATACTGGGGAGACGCT